CCCTCAAACGCCGCAGGTCTCTCCACAGTATCCTCAATACCCTCAAACGCCACAGGTCCAACCTCCTCCACCACTGCCTTACCAATACACCTCCAGTGAGCCAAATCAGCCTGCTTACCATAGCTGTGAGGTGACAGCAGGCCAGAGAGTCCCATGTGGAGGCCCTGATATTTCTGCTGTTGCATGTGAAGCGATTGGCTGCTGCTTTGATGGCCAACAGTGTTACTTTGGAAAAGCAGGTGGGTTTTTGATGACGCAGTTATTGTTTGCCAAAGAGGGAATAGGGTTGCAAATAATGTAGCTTTTGTCTCCTGTATGATGGCACAGCTGTATCCTAAGTAAACCCTCAAATAGTTTCTCAAATGACTGTGGACTTGTTACATTGTCTTTGGTCGATAATATCAGATCTTTTAACCCTCCAATGCCTGTTTTTGTGCCACCAGTGACCGTCCAGTGCACCAAGGATGCCCAGTTCATTGTGGTAGTGGCCAAAGATGCGACTCTGCCCAACATTGACCTTGAGTCAATCTTACTGTTGGGACAAGGTTTTGGCTGTACATATATCGACTCTAATTCAGAATTTGCCATCTACCAGTTTCCTGTAACTGCCTGTGGCTCTATTGTTATGGTAAGACCTTGATTGTTTTCTATTTTACAACCAATAAAGACAACTTTAAATTAATTAATTTTTTTCACCTTTTGTAGGAGGAGGCTGGTGATATAATCTACAAAAACAGGATTACCTCCACATTCGAAATTGGTACTTCTGCTACTGGAGTCATTACCAGGGACAGCCAGTATGAGTAGGTTATCCTCTTCTTAAAGATGTTTGTAGTGTCAAGACAAAAGTTCTGACCTAGAAACTTAATGCTAGTTGTCTTTTTCAGCTTGCTCTTCCAGTGTAGATACAGCGGAACCTCTGTTGAAACTTCGGTTGTAGAGGTGTTACCATTAGATAATCCTCCTCTACCAGTTTCTGCTCTGGGACCCATCACAGTACAACTGAGGTTGGCTAACGGACAATGCAGTACAAAGGGTTGTAATGAAGGTAAGTGTATGTTAGCCTGGCAGCAGATGATTTCATAATGTTGACTGTCTACCGACTAACTAGGATCTCTACTCTCACAGTGGATGCAGCCTATACCTCTTACTATACGGATGCAGATTATCCTGTAACCAAAGTACTGAGGGACCCTGTGTACGTGGAGGTTCAACTCCTTGAAAAGACAGATCCATCACTTGTCCTGACTCTTGGTCGCTGTTGGACAACCACAAGCCCTGACCCTCACAGTCTGCCCCAGTGGGACATTCTGATAGACGGGTAACTAGAACACCAATTTAGTCACACCCCTGTCAAGTCTACTCACTAGTAATAGTGAATAAAGAAATGAATGCTATGATAATATTGACTTTTAAATTCTTTTTAATTTCAATGTCATTGCCTTAACCTAATTTGCTCTCCTTCCAGGTGTCCATACAAGGATGATCGCTACTTGTCCGCAGTGGTTCCTGTTGATTACTCCTCTCCTCTTCTGGAATTCCCGAGCCACTACAGCCGATTCATTTTCAAAATGTTTACCTTTGTGGACCCCAATTCACTGGAACCCCTGAGGGAACAGGTATATATCCACTGATGAGAAACTGCTGCAGCAAAATATATTTTTGCATTACTCTGCCAACATTGCTTATTCCTTGTCCAGGTGTACATTCACTGCAGTACATCTGTTTGTGCTGCTGCACCGGGTAGCAACTGTGGACCATCATGCCAAAGACAAAGTAAGAGATGAATTTATAATCTACATAATTCAGGAGCAATATACACTTGAATCTGACCATGTTTGTGTGTCCATCTGCAGAGAGAGATGTCGAGGCTGTGAACCAGGAGACATCTGGGCCAAAGCTGGTGGCTTCTGTTGGACCTGTGGTCATGGTCGCACCGGAGCAGTAAACAGCACAGTGCCAAGCTCAAGAATTTGGTTGAGAACATATAGTAATAGAATATAAACATTAACATGGTTCAGTATTAGTGGTAAAACAAAATTACCATGTACAGTACGTATTTGTAGCGATTGTGAAAAGACAAGTAAAGAGCCAACGATGTGCTGCAGGAAGTTTGCATTCAATAAAACTAACTGTGATATGCTCATCTTATAAAGAACACCTTTTTAATTTAATACAATTTGGTTGACATTGTGTCAGCCAAGTGCCGATTTAACTTATGTCTGGGGCTGTATGAAGTGGCTACGTTTTATTGGATTACATTATATTAAAAGTGCTTATGTTATTTTTTTTGTTAGCCCTCATTTATGTGAACACAATATTAGAAACATTTCTCAACATAATTAAATTCAGCACAATACCGTAACTAACCACAGCAAAAACAATAACCACATAGTTAAATTAACTCCTGTCTGTCATTTTTTTTCTCTCAACAACAACAAAAAAAACATTACATTATAGTATTGGATTGGACTGCACAGGAGTACCTTATTATTGGAAAATCAGGGGTATTCCAAAATGCAATTAAAAGATTAAAAAGCAGTTGTTCAAACCCACAGAAGATACAACAGATGGGCCGAAACTGTAGTGTATGGGATTTTTTTCCAGAATTTCTGACATTCCAATAAACATGGACTTTTGGTACTAATACTGAGTTTTGTTTATTGAAATATTTCCAAAAATAATAAAAGATGTAACTACAAGAATTTGTGATTTTTGTCAAACTACTACTGTAAATTACTGTAACTACTTGTTATTTTGGACCTAACTGACCTGGCATGAGATTTAAATCCTTAAACTGAAATATTTTTACATCTCACCAGGGTGTATAGACAGTATTTGATGATCTTTCCCTGAAGTCAGCTAGGGCTGAGGTGGAATCTGTGTTTGTGGAGCTCTCTGGTGTCTTTGGTGGAAAAAATGTTATAG